TGTGGTGTCATAGCAAGGGCACTACACCCCGTGTCAATGGCTTCCAGCTCTCTGGGGCCTGAGTCCTATTGGCTTTTTGAGTTTGGGCAATTACTTTGCCTCTCTGAGCCTCAATTTCCTCATCTGAAAATTGAAATAGTGACAAAGACCTCACAGTTACTGTAAAGATTAAACTCGTTAAGACAGGTAGATTCTCCTGCACAAAGCCTGGGCATGGGTGCCTTATGTTTTGGTCAGATTTGAATTGTTTATTCAGTCAGCATATTTACTGAATATCCACTTTGCAAAAGGAACCCTTCGTTTCTGGATTTGATAGTGTTCAGCGTCAAGGCCTTAGGTTAAGCTGAGAATGATCAACACAGGTCTTAGGCTTTGTGAGGACTTGCCTGACTCTACCTGTGTGTGTGTCTCTGTGTGTGTGTGTAACCCAACCCTGACTCCAAGGCCCAGCATTTTCTTTTTAAAAAATTAAACAAAAAAAATTAAAAAAGATTTTATTTCTTCACCACACACACACACACACACACACACTCACACACACACACACGGGGGGGGGCACAGAGACACAGGCAGAGGGAGAAGCAGGCTCCATGCAGGGAGGCCGACGTGGGACTCCATCCCAGGACTCTGGGATCACGCCCTAAGCTGAAGGCAGATGCTCAACTGCTGAGCCACCCTGGTGCCCTCCCCCTAATTTTAAAAATTTAAATTCAATTTAATTAACATATAGTGTATATTAATTTCGGATGTAGATTTATTTAGTGATTTATCTGTTGCATATCGCACCCAGTACTCATTCCATCAAGTGCCCTCTTTAATGCCCATCACCCAGTTATCCCATCCCACTCCACCCCTTCCCCTTCAGCACCCCTCAGTTTGTTTCCTGTGATTAAAAGTCTTTTACGGTTTGTATCCCTCTCTGATTTCATCTTGCTTTATTTTTTTCCTTTCTTCCTCTATGATCCTGTTTTGTTTCTTAAATTCCACATGAGTGAGATCATATGACATTTGTCTTTCTCTGACTTGTTTCACTTAGCATAATAGCCTCTAGTTCCATCCATGTTGTTGCAAATAGCAAGATTTTTTAAAGATTTATTTATTTATTTATTCATGAGAGGCACACAGAGAGAGGCAAAGACACAGGCAGAGGGAGAAGCAGGCTCGCTGTGGGGAACATGATGTGGGACGCGGTCCCGGGCCCCGGGGATCATGACCTAAGCAAAGCAGATGCTCAACCACTGAACCACCCAGGTGCCCTGCAAATGGCAAGATTTCATTTTTTTTTTTGGTAGCTGAGTAATATTCCATTAAATGTGTATAGACCACATCTTTATCCATTCATGTGTCAATGGACATCTGGCTCTTTCTGTAGTTTGGCTATTGTGGACAGTGCTGCTATAAACATTTGGGGTGCCTGTGCCCCTTCGAATCATTATGTTTCCATGCTTTGGATAAATACATAATGGTGCAATTTCTGGGTTGTAGGGAAGCTCTATTTTTAACTTTTTGAGGAACCTCCATACTCTTTCCCAGAGTGGCTGCACGTTTGCAATCCCACAAAGGGTGTAAGAGGGTTTCCCTTTCTCCACATCCTTGGCAACATCTGTTGTTTCTTGACTTGTTAATTTTAGCCATTCTAACCTGTGTGAGGTAGTATCTCATTGTGATTTTGATTTGTATTTCCCTGATACAGAGTGATATTGAGCATTTTTTCATGTGTTTGTTAAGGCTCAGCATTTTCTAAGGCACCAAGATCTCTTTAGTCTTGGAATTTGGGAAGCCTGTAGGAACACTTTAGATTCTAGTCCCTTGGGAAATGGCAAGAGTTTGGCCCTGGGGCTGCTGTGGGGCTGGGCAGACTTTGGAGGGCAACTTCTCTGGCACCTGTGGAAGTGTGTGCAGTGGGCAAGGCATCAGGAGAAGCATGGCACTCTGACCATGGACTAGTTGCCTCAAGTGATTCAGACCACCTGTATGTAAACACCAGTCTGACCCCAGAAGTGACATTAGAGGTCTCTTGTAGAGCCAGAAAAAAGTAAAGACGTAAGGGGAGTCCTAACATGGCCATATTTCTGCTGTCCCAATGACATGGATATTTTGGCCTCCATTGTGATGATGTGATGTAAATAGTCATTGATTCAATGAATATTTATTGTGCCTGGCACTGTCTCAGATGCCAGGGATTCAGAGATTAAGGAGACACTTACAGATGACTGCTTTAGGCTGGGAGAGAGAAGGCACCACAAGCCACTGAAATACGGCTATGGTTTTACTTCTCACATGGTTGTTGGTAGCTCCCCAAATGATCAGTGAAAAGAGTATAAATCGTCATCAGAACAGACATGGAAAGAGGCTGGTTTTCCTGGGTATAGTAAGCCATGCATGTGGGAGATTTTCCGTCCAACTTCACTGCAAATCATTAAGCATGGAGCCCTGGCTAGTGTTCAGGTTGGAATAGGTACAGAGCAAAAGGCCTTGATATTTTTGATAAGCCAACTTGTGGATGTGTTGCTTACTGACCTATGTGAGGGGTGGTGTGAGGTGACCTATGGGAACAGATGGGAGAGAGAATCAGAGCTGACAGATTCAGAAGTGTCTAGACTTCCTCTAGTCAAAGAGATGCAGGCTTGCCTCATTTGCATGTCATTTAAATAGCACTACTTTCATATCAGAATACGAGGTCTTTTCCAGCTAGGTAAACTTCAGGTCTGAGGCCCAAGCACAGCTAGCAAGAAATGTCCTGGGAGTGAGGTCTGGTCTAGCTCTGTGCTGACCAGTAATTCACAGAGGGTAAAATTTTGTCTTCCCCTGGAAGACCCACAAGGGGAGAGCATCCTAAGCACCAAGTGCAAAAGTATTTGTTGAATACATGAATTTTTTTTGAACAAATGATAATGTTTGGACAACTGCTTTTCCTTCCTGGGCATTGGGGAAAAGGTATGGGATGTAAGTTTGATCCATGGTTTTGACTTTTGGGGCCCTGGGCAGCTGTGGACACCATTTGTGGTAAAATTACCATACCACAACATGTCATATAATTTGGGGAGTTTTCTAGACCCTTTGAAGTCAATTCTTATGTCTCTTAGCCCAGACTGGGAGCCCCTGGACCAGAAGAAGTTGAAAATCCTTCTTTTATGCCTCAGATTCCCAAGAATCCTGGCCTACTTGGGTCTCTCAGGCATGGGAACCTAAGAGAGAAGATGCATTTGCTATTTTTCTTGGATTCCCACTATGTGTCAGGTGCTCATTTAATCCAAGACCAAGCAGACATCATGGGTCCTTCTATAGAGATGAAGAACCTGAGGCTTAAAGAGAGTGAAATCATTTCCCTGGAGTCATGGAGCTGGGATTCACACCCAAGCCCTGGGCCCCAGACCCTTTCTTTTTCCGTAAGGTTAGCTGTATTTCTGACTTGTTCCAGTACAGCTCCACTCCTTTTGCCCAGCACACTGACCCCAGGACGAGGGGGGCTTGCACCCACTGCAGCCCATTAAGTACCTCTCTTCATTGGGAGGCACCTGCTGGGCAGAGCCCAGGGTCTCAGCCTTCCTGGTGCACAATGCACAGGGCAGGCGGCCCAGGACAGCCAGGGAAGGGTCCAGTGTGCCCAAGTGGCATGGGTGGCCTACACTTGAACTGGCCGAGCCACCCCTGCCACGGATGGAGAAAAGAAGGGGACCTTGGTGCTGTAGCTTCCACACGTCCCCATTCCCTTTCACTCTTCCCTTTGACATATCTACCTAATGAAATCTAAACAGTCAGGGGCAGACAAAACTCTCTCCAGCTCCCATCCCCCCGCTCTTTAAAGGCAGGAGTTCCATGTCTCCTCGGAGAAACTGGCAGGAGAGACCAGACCTGGGGCGCGCAGATTCAATTTCCCATTTCTTTGGGGGCAAGGAGCCCTATTAGGTACCATTAGTCTGCTTGGGGCTGTTCTGAGGGTTCTAGGCTCTTCTGGATACTTCCCACTTCCCGCTCCATGCCGGGAGAAATGCCCACTGTGACAGTCACTGTCCCAAATGGCTCTTATCTCTTTATCACAGCCTCCCTCGTCACCGCAAGACCTGCTGCCCAGAAACAGCACCCTCTGCAGGTGAGACCAGGGTGGGGGGACCAGTTGCTTCAGTTGGTCAGTTTCCTAGAGGCCGAGCGTGGCGGACCCTGAACGGGGACATTATTCACAAGAGACCAGGAGCAGGGTGGAACATGCTTGCTGGTGGCTGAGGGCAAGGACTTTTCTGTTGTGGTGCCTCACCCCATGGCTACTTTTGAGCCATGTGAATGCTGGGAAGTCCGGCTATGGACTAGATTAGCCCTTGGCAGAAGTCAGACAGATGTGCCTCAGCAGCTTGGGTGCGTGCGTGCGTGTGTGCATGTGTGTATGAGACTCTTTTCCAAGGAGGTGCCACTGCATCACTGCATGGCTGGAGACCCAGACAGCCCCCCTCCTGGGGAGGCAAAGGCAGAAGGTCCTCCTTACTTGAGTGTTGAGAGTGTGGTTGATCCAGACCCCTGGGCACCAACAGTAATGGGCAGAGGTAGGTACAGCTGGAGTTCAAGGAGTCCCAGGGGTCTGACTGCCTTTGGTCTTCAAACTGGATCCCCCTTCCCCACACATCCCCCCAGCTCCACAGAAGATGCAAGAAGCACTGACATAATGTGGACAAGAGCTCAGACTCACCCTCCTATTGTCCCATCCACATTCTCTGCTTCATGTGCACTGAGCCTCCGGGCAAGGGCAGGTGGGCACGAGGCCCAGGTGGCCTCAGATGCAACCAGGGGAGCCCTCTCCAGCCTGCCTTGGTCTCTGGTGGGGCCCTCTTGGCCACAGAAACTGGGGTGAGGGTGAGGTGAGCTCACAGGCATGTTGTAGGGACAGTAATTCGGTCAAGCAAGCAAGAAGGTGGAGACAACCAGTGTGTGTCAAAAATTTTATTTTATTTTTTCATTTCACACAGAATGATGTTAAAATAAATCCTCAGTAATATATATATTTATATACCTATTTACTTGTGTTGATATTTACAAAAGATTGTGGAGCTCTATGAGGTCTATGTACACCCATGAACAGGTGGGCAGGCGATGTTCGTTGAGGCATGTATGTACACACGTATGTATAACCTATGTACAAATATCAGACCCTACTGACACAGGAACTCTCAGCTGCAGAAGTCCTGGGTGGGGCAGTGTTGGTGGGGACAAAAACTTTCAGAAAATGTCAGCAGGAATGATAATACCTACACACCCTGTGCAATGCACTTACAACTGGTGTCTCCATTTTCACAAAGCGAACAAATAGTTAAACGCCTCCCGACTCCCATGAGTCTTCCCCGCCAGCCAGCCCTGCTCCGCCTTCAGCTCCCATTGGCCCCCAGCCTCTTATCACCATGGAGACCCCGGTTCCCTTTCGGCATCATCCTTACGAAGCTTTACCGTCAGCCTTGGAGTTCCTTCTCCTATTGATCCCAGGGAGGATTATTTATGTGCCTCCGTTTTTCTGAGTTTTCAGCAATCGTTAGAGACAGGACACCGGAGGGCAGCTGCAGAGTCATGCACGGGCCCGAGGAAGCCAGTGCGAACCCTAATTAGAGTCTGTGCTGCATGAGCCTAAGTGAGCGGCCATTTCCACATGTTGTGTGTGTGTGTGTGTGTGTGTGTGTGTGTGCACGCGCGCGCAATATATAAACTCTCCCGAGACAGCCTGTATCAGCACATAAGCACACAGGTCTAGAGGAGGAAATAGCATTGGGCACTCCGGAGCGTTGCAGCTGCGCGCCTGCTGAAAGTGGAGAATCCGCCTTGATTCTGGCACATTAATTCCCACCGTTCCGAGATTACCCTTAGTGGAGAGAGGGGTGCAGGGGTGCAGAAACCCAGGCTAAGGCCAGTTTGGCCGGGGCACCGTTCGCTCAGCAGGCTGGGGCTCGATCATGGGACTCTCCCGCTTCCTGGGGCCCTTCAAATGAAGGAATCATCCGAGCACGACAACAAAAGGAAACTGGGTCGCGGATCCCACGTGAAGGCGGAACTGGGGCAAGCACAGAGCATGTTCAGGGCCTCCGGGGCTGACACGCCGCGCGCCAGCGCCAGCCGGGCTGCGCCTGCTCTCTCCCCCATGTCCAGCCCGCAGCCCTTTGCTCCTTTCCAGCCGCACCTGGCAGGGCATGGGCCTTGCCCTGCACTTCACGAGCAGAGCAAGGCAGTCGCATCAGCAGCAGGCGTGGAAAATGCTTGGTAGCCACGCGAGCCCCGAAGATTCCCTTCCTCCCAGCCCTGCCTCTCGCTTTCTCTAGCGGCCCTTGTACAAACAAGGCAGCCAGTGTCTCGGGAGTCCTTTTTAGGGAGAAGCAGGGCTTCACGCCTGCCTCTCACAAGGGCTGGGGAGAGACACAGGACTGAGTCCTCTGGGTAGCTACCACAGTCCTAGCGCACAGCCGTGTCTACGCTGCCCTCAATTACCTCGATGATGCAGCAGCTGTCCACATTATTATGTAATCACACCTGCCCTGTGCATCCATCCCTGGAATGATGCAGGGAGTTCTCAGCTGTAAACTCATCTGGAACATATCTGACTATTTTAGGAGTGCAGAGGAGCAGAAAGAGTTCTATCTGTTTCCATGCCAAGGTTCACGCAGCGTTAAGAGGAGGCCATCCGGGCAGGCTGCTGCCACGGCCCAGTTTGCCTGCAGGTCACACTACGCCTGGGATGGGCTTCCACCGCCTGATCTTGGCCAGCTCGGCTAGACTGGAGGCTGCCACGAATGGGGGTTGGCGGCAGGCAGCCCTGCAGTGCCCCACCTGCCCCAGACAGCAGTGAGGACTGCCCCCCACCCCATATCCAGGCAGGCTGCACACAGCCGAGTGCGGGACGCGAGGCTGGAGCCCTCTCCCTCGGCTCTAACACGATGCTGGGGACGGTGGAGGCGCAGAGTGTGGCCAGCCCAGAGCTAGCTGTTTCCAGAGAGGCCAGTGACTCACAGCTGCTCCACTGCCCGTACCCACAAACTACGTTCAGTCAGGACAACAATGGGGTGGCTTTGTTAGTGCCACTGGTTATCACACATCTCGCCTTCCGTGGGACAGAGATGTTCTTTAGTTCTTCATCAAAAGCTTCACTTATACATCTCTTGAAATTCAAGCCTAGGACACCACCCGTGACAAAGAAAGCCTAACAGATCAGTCCTGGGCTGCCGTGTCTTCGAGCTTTCCACCCCCCCAGATCCAAAAGTTTGGAATAACTTTTTTGGCTTCAGTGATGAGGTTACAGCCAACCAGGGCAGATGGAACAAAGGAAAAAGCACCTGGCCCTTAGATCAGACTTCCCTTTTATTCCCAAGTCAGGCAGCCACCTGGGAGGGATGGGAAAGAGGTGATCCTGGAGCCCAATTGTTTGTTAGGAAAGAACTGCCTTCTAGAGAGGTTCCTACGTGGAAGCAAAAGAGCTGAACCGGAGAGGTGGTAAGAATGCAAAGGAAGGTCGTGTAAAAATTCAAATAAACGCCGTTTATTCCTCGGATTGCCAAATTTATTCCACATCAGTGAAGCTAAGGGGATCAGTCACTGTATAATTTTTGAAACAACGGTATACATATATACATATACTATACATATATATACACAGATATATGTATATATGGAAAACCTCTGATAACTCAGGACCAAGTAACCAAAACCTCAGTTAACGCAGGCATTACGCTCTCTTACTCTACTTTCTGTAGGAAGAGGCAAATGACAGCAAGGGCATTATCTGATGAGCCAGGACGCACCCAGATGGCCAACTTCTGGGAATGCCTTGCAGCCAGCGTACGTTCAGCCCGTCTCTTTGGTCTCTTCCGTCTGCACTTCCGCACGATGAGCACTGAGGTTTACAGCGTTGACCCTGAGCAATGCAAGGTCTTCTGTCGTCTCCAAACTCTCTACTTGCTAAGGCAGGAAAGTTTATACTGACCTACTTAGGAAATGGGTTTGTTTTTGTTTTTGTTTTTTCGCAACAGCAAAGGTTGAACCCACACATGGCGTCCCATTCCCACTCAAACAACCATGGTTGTAAAGCAGTCGGGACACTCCCTTCCCTGAGGATTTTCCCATCAGTTAACTGAGGTTTCGCTGTACACACGTGTATAGAGCAAGGTAGATTGAGAAGGGTGCAATAGGACCCTGGGGTTGCCAGCCTTCCTGATTGTCCAGTCTGAATATTTAACCTCACAGATTCTTTCTCCGGGAGGGGGGGTTTCTTCTGAAGCTCCCAGTTATGTGTGCAAATACATGTGCAACTGCGCACAGTAGTGGGTGGTAGGGCCTTTGCTTCTCCAACGTCATGTCCTAACCACCCACTTTCTAACCCTGTAGACGTCTACCCTCAATAACTTGCTTCCCTCCACAGCTCTCAAGGAGCCCCCCGGTTAAGCGAGTCAGCTTATTTTTGAAGGACAGCCAGAGGGCAACTCCCCAGATGTGCCCAGGCTACCTATCCCAGGTAGGATGCTCCAGGCCACATTCCCCAGCGTCAGTCTCCCCGGGGAGGGGGGGGGAGGGGAGACAAATGGATTAAGTAATGGCTTTTAGTGCATGGAAATGATCTTCTGTAATGGCTCAGGATGCTTTATTCTTATCTGTTGGTAAGTGCTTTCCCGCGGGGTCCCATTACACCCTGCCAGACTGACTGACAGGCAGATGGGCTGGCGTGAGGTCGCCCGCACTGAAGGCTGCAGCGCCTCAAGGGTGGTGAGAATGCCCTGTGAGAGCTGGCAGAGAGGGACGGCTGGGAGGGACAGGGGGACCGAGGGGCCCGCAGGGATGGAGAGATGTGCCTGTGGGAAAGAGCGCGACCAAGAAGGCCTTCTCGAGGTCCTTCCTCGCCGCCGCCTGCGCTGCACCTCAGCCTATGTGTACACTCCAAAGGAGGGTCAGAGCCCCCGGGGGCAGGAATCGCGTGGACTTGCAGGAAGAAGAGGAACCACAGACAGTGATCTAGTGCCCAGAAGCCAAGGGCATTATCTGATAATCCAGGTACTATCCCTTTTCAGTCCTGAGAACATGGTTTTGAAATAGCTATTGCTAAAGAAAACAGTCATGATTTATTGTATTGCACTTTTCCTTGTTAAAAATGTTCAAACGCAAACTATGAGAGATGGAGCTGAGCTTTGGTGGGAAGGGAAGCAGAAAGAAAGGAAAAGGGAACCAGATCATTTTAGGAAAGAGACCCAGCCCAGCTTGCAGAGGCTCCGCCTCCACCGAAACCTGCTTGCTGCTTTGGTGGGGAAACACAAAGGGCTGACTCTGAAGACAAGGATGACGGTCACCGGAGCCACAGGGACACCTCCCGGCATCCAGCACCCTGCTAGCTGACTCAGGTGGCTAACAATGTTAGAGGTTAAGGTCTTGAGTTCAAACCTGGCAATGGACACTTTGCAGAGGGTGGGGGATCTCCACTGTGTAGCCAAGGAGCACCCCAGGTGTTACAGCCCGTGTGGACCAGCCTCTCAGACCAGGCAGCCATCACCCAGATGGAGGCTGTTATGATAATGGGTCCCAGGAGAGCCAGAGGTAGAGCAGAGCTCACCATCCCCACTCCTGGATTAACAAAGTCCTGAGCTCTTCCTGCCTGCCATGGGGGCTCTGGTGCCACCCTCACGTGCAGTTTGCAAACTGTCCTAAGGTCTCCTTTGGGGAAAGTCAGCTTCCAACTCTTTCCTCCATTACTGCGGGCTGCATTAAACCCCCAGCCTGAGACTCTTCAGGGGGCTGCCATCCCCAACATGGCTCAGTGCTGATACTCTATGGCTGACTCTGAGGAAGGAAGTTGGCCAAGTCCACCGTGATGATGGAGAGATACAGGGATAGCAGATAGGACAAGCCGGTCCTGCAGCCCTCCCCACACGAGCACACAGGCCCACAAAACTCTCACACGAAGCCAATGGGGCCTGGAGGCACACTCCTTTCAAGAGGCTAACCTCCTGGGACACACTAGTCCATCCTCAGAAGCCTAGCTGACAGGGACAGAGGGAAGCCGAGAGGAAGGAAAACAGCATGTCAGACACCACAGAAGCTTCAGGAAGCACAGGGCCCTAATTATGTCCTCAGTTAGGTTTCAGCTCTTGCAAAGTTTTCACAGCAAGAGGACCCTCTCTTCCTGGTCATCTTCCCGCCTTTCCTGGACTTCTTTCTCTTTAGCCTCCTGAAAACTCCAACTTACTTGAAAGTTTGAGCTCATGGAGACACCTGCTGAAGCTGAAGGGGAAACTGCTACCTTCACTTGGAAGCTCACGGAAGGCCCGGCATCTTGCACTGAATGTGCACAGTCGAGCCCACGCGTCCATTCCCTGCTGCTGCCCATTCCTCCGTGAAGACGGGGCGCTCTGGCCATCGTGGGACCCGCCTGGGAGGGCCACAGGAGCGAAGACCAAGATGCCCGAGCCGATGCCTGACTTCAGTTCCCAACTTCCATCCGTGGTGATGCCTTGGCCAGAAAAGCACTCAGCTCTCAGCCAGTCCTACCAGTGGGAGGAAGCAGCTCTGTGCGCCACCCAAAACAGTGAGGAACCTTACAAAGCATTTAAATCTGGCCTTAGAATATAGGATAAAAATCAGGCTGTCTGAAAAACGATCGCTTGCTCCTGTGGCATGAGGTCCGTGTCCTTAATCAGTTTTAGGTAAACTGAGTTAGTGTGCATTTCCACAAGGCCTAGCAATTAGATGGGAGGCAGGGAGTCCAGGTAGAGGCCTGGCAAAGGAGAGGAGCATGCCTGGCATCAAGCAACCATAGAGGGGACTCAAGGGTTGACCCCACTGGGCTTAGGCCCAAGAACAAGTGAAATGCCACAAGCAAGGAAAGGGTGGCTCGTTTTCAGAGCCAAGTCTATGCGTGGTCTCGACTTTCAGATCCACCCTGATAAAGTCATTGAGGATGGAAGGGCATTAGGGTCTGTGGACTGACAGGATGCTGCGGGCATCTTCACTCTGGTTTTGGGCTCAGAGCCCTGCACTTTCTTGGGCCATCCTGGCTTTCAAGAGAATGGAGCTGAATCTAAAGATCCCGGGGGTTGGGAACAGGGGAACCTGGGCCAGAGGATTGTCTATGTGGACTCGCTCTGAAGGATAGGGCATGGCAAGGAGTGAAATAGGCTGCTGGCTGTCCTAGGTCTTCCCACACCCACATTTCTGGTGGGAGGAAGGTAAATAAGTAGAAGCCCTATGAGATTCCCAGTCTTAATCGGAGATCTGCTTAACAATAAACCTCAGAGTTTACTTCTCTGAAATCTGGAGGTGAAAGAAAGAGGGTAGAGAAAGAGGCTTCTTGAAGGCTACTGAAGGGTGTGGCTGCAGGTTTGGGAAAGGTGATGAAATCTCATCTTTTGTTTGTGCCTACTACTAATTTATAGCTTTGGGGGCAGAGAGATGGATCTGAGTACACATGCACATGTACATAATCCATGTGAATTGTGTATGTATGTGCTTGGGTGTGTGTGCTGGATTTTGTGTGCCTCACATGAGTAAATAAATGCATTGGGTGTATAAACTGAGTTTGTATGTGTTTTATGGGCAGAAACAATATAAAGTATCCTTGGTGTACTGTGTACTCATATCCGTTGTGTTCATGTGGTTTTTATGCATTTGCCTCTGAGCTGTCGTTGTGTCTTTGTGTGTGGTGTATGTAGGTCTTCTGTGTTATGTTCTGTATTGGTGAGTATGTTCCAGGTTTGTACCGAATGTGCATATTCTGGATACCAGTGTAGTTCTCTGTCATCTGTGTATACCCTTTTCATTAGCTGGCCTCTGTGCATTTCACATCGCATGTTTTATATTTGTGTGTGGCAACAGTGTATCTGTTTTGCCGTGGGTGTGCATATATGTGTGCCTACACCTGTGGGTATTTTATAATCCCCAGGTCAAGGACATGGGGATAGATCTCCCCCCTTGCCAAGGCCTTGGGTATGGGCTGTTTTACTGTCTGTTTCCCAAGGTCTGTGCCCTTCCTACCCCACGTCTTGGAAATTCAGCACCACCTCCCATGAAGGAGAGGAAGAGAAGCACAGGGGCATCGCACTGGGCATGGGGTGTCCTGCAGATCCCTGGGGAAGTGGGTGACCAGGAACTAATGAGCACCCTGGGCCTAGCACCCTGAGCTGGTGCCCCACCCCCCAAGGTAACTGTAGGTGCTAAATAGCCAACGGTGAGGCGAGGCCTAGAGCCACCACTGGGCGGCCTGGACCACACAACTCACTGTGTTTGGGAAATGTAAGCTGTTATGTGGGAAGGCAAAGGAGCCAGTCTGTGAAGCGAAAGCCTCCCCAACTCAACCCATCCCAGGGCCAGCCTGAACTCCACCCCTAGGCGGTGCAGGGCTCATTCACTCTCAATCTGTCCCAGGCCAGTGAATGATTCTCTGCCCACCCTTTGGTTTGTTTAAAAGCAGCTCTGATTGCCAGTTCAATAGGAGAGAGTTTGAGACTGGCAATTGAAAGGATGCCTGTGGATCATCTAGCATCTCCATCCCTTCGTCCAGGACTTCAGAAGTTTCCACACAGAGGAAGCTTCCTTCAAGTCTAGACCTGAGGCATTGGGTCCCTGGAAGCCCTCCTCCTCGCATCCCTGGTTTCAAGCATCCATTCTGGCTCTTTAGGAAAAGGGTCATTAAAGTGACTGATGCAGAGCCAAATGACAAGAAAAACCAAAGAGAGCGGGCAAAGACGGGAAGAGAGATGATTAACATGATGGGCTGTAGAGAGGAGGCCTGGGGTGGGTCTGGCCCAGGGCAGCTGGAGCTGTGAGGGCCACAGGCCCTTGTGCACTCGGTAAGACGAGCTTCAGCCATGGCAAACTGAAGCTGCAGCACATGGAGGGCAGAAGGACAATTCTAACATCTAAGAATCCATGAAGACTGGAGTGTCTGAGGCAACGGCGGCAAACCCAGTCCCAGTGGGGTTATCAATGAGATAAATTAACCCATTAGGCCTCTCAGACAACCAAGCCGCCAAGCAGTGGATTTGCTCCTGAACCTGAACTCCAGAGAATGAATATATACATATATATATATATAAGTATGTGTGTGTGTGCATGTGTGCATATCTACATATACACACATGTATGTATGTATATAATACTCAGTATATACATACATACGCTAGTGCACATAGTCAAACACATGCATAAATTGCCCTGTGTCAGAAATATTGCATAAGCTTATACAAGGTTCAAACGCAATTTCTTCTATAGCTAGCTAGGCAGAGGGACTCGTGAAAGATACTCAATAGGTATTTTTATACATTGGATCCACAAATCCGCCTGTCCTCGGGACCAGAGGCCCTGGTCAGCTATAGAGTCATGCCTGTGACTAGGTTAATTCTTAAGGTGCAGTTACGTGAGGGGTTCAGGCGCTGCTCTCCTGCTCACTTTCCAGGCTTTGTGGAGGTCTGTGCCCCCACGTGGAAGATAGAATAAGGGATGGGGTGGGCTGGAGAGCCAGAGGCTTTGGTTCCTCCTTCCGAATAGTCTCTTTTTTTCCGACTGAGGGCTTTTGTCCTCCGATGGGGGGCGTGGTGGTGTGGGGGACACCAACCCCTAGGTCAATGCCACTCTGGGGCTACGAAGACGCCAAACATGAATACTGTGTTAGGCTACTAAGAAAATAGGTTATCTCCTGTGTTTTAAATATTGAGATTCATGCAGCAAACACCCATGCAGCTCTATCACGTCACTGGTAATTGCACTGCGGGGCCAGAGCAGCTGGCACAGCACGAGGAAAGCAGACGTCTGCAAACTCCAGTATAACGAAGAAGTCAGACGTGTTTTGTGACCCTGAAGCCTGCAAGGATGGTGAGATCTGAAGCGGAGAGGTCCCTTGGTTGGTTAGCTTCTCCCCATAGGCCTAAGAGCAAACGTGCAACTTGACAGCTCACATTCGGTCAGACCGGCGGTCCCTCCCCCTGGGGTTCCCTCACAGCCACACCGCAGAGAAAAACCAAATGCAGCATTATCCGTTACGAAACACCAGCCTCCAGAGCATCTACTTGGCAACTGCAGTTCACAAACCCCAGCCCGTGACACAGAAAGTAATTCCAATACACAGGACTGTGTGTTCTTTTCAATGCAAAAATGGGAATGACCTTTTGAATCACTACCAGTGCTTTCAAGCTAAGCCATCATGGTTTTCCTCTGGGAAGGGGGAGGTGGGCTCATACGGGACGAGGCGGTTGGGGGCCCAGTGGGGAGTGGAGTGGTGGCGGAGGATGCTCAGGAAGGGTGGGGTGTGTCTCTTGGGGTGCTGTGTGCATTTAATTCGGAAGGGAAGGTGGCACAGATGTGGTGGGTTATGTATTCGATGTGAGGTGGACCTCCCCACCCATGTGTCCTTCTGAGATTCTGGCTCCACTGGTGACTCCCCTGTTTGGAAACCCCTAAGCCGGTGATGAAGATTTGCATGAAAGCCATGGATAGATATTCTGTGTTCTAAATCAAAAATCAAAAGATCAAAAGTCACTTGCACGACTATTGCTTTCCATGCAGAACCAGATACACACTGTAGAACATGTTACTACAATGCAGGCTATTATGCAGTATCTGCATTAGTTCCATGGAGCTGCGAGTACGTTAATAGGTTTCAATCAGACATCAGTTAACATTTTGGTAATATTCACATAGTTTGTATTAGCCAAAGTGCAGTTGGCCGTTTTCAAGTTTTCCTCTCTAAAGTCCTCGTTACTGTTGTTTACCCCCTCCTGGATCTCCATGTAATCAGACTTACTAATGGTAGAGGCACTTCTACTTTTCTTCAGGTCAGGGGAGGATGGGATCTTTGGGCAGCTCGTCACTTGCAGGTACTGGGCCTGCTCCTCCCCCTCCGTCTCCCGGTGGTAGAAGTAGTTGAAGTTGGACACTATGACGGGGACCGGTAAGGCAATGGTTAACACACCTGCAATTGCACACAGGGAACCCACGATCTTTCCCCCAATGGTAGTTGGAACCATGTCTCCATAGCCTACAGTTGTCATGGAGACGACTGCCCACCAGAAGGCATCCGGGATGCTGGGGAACTGGGACTCTCGCTCATCGGCCTCTGCGAAATAGACAGCACTAGAGAAAAGGATGACCCCAATGAAGAGAAAGAATATCAGGAGGCCCAATTCTCTCATGCTGGCTTTGAGGGTCTGACCTAGAATCTGGAGACCTTTGGAGTGTCTAGACAACTTGAAAATCCTAAAGACTCTTACCAACCGGATGACACGGAGGATGGCCAGCGACATGGCCTGCTGGCCCTGCTGGGCATCCTCTGGCTTCTCAGCCAGCTCTGTCCCCAGGGTGATGAAGTAGGGGATGATGGCCACAATGTCAATGATGTTCATGATGTTAGTGAAGAAGCCGGCTTTGCTGGGACAGGCAAAGAACCTCACCAAGAATTCAAACGAGAACCAGATGATGCAGAGGGTTTCTACGATGAAGAAGGGGTCGGTGAAGGAAGTTGACTGCTGGTACCCGATTGTGCTGTTGGAGTAGGTGTGGAAGGTCACCCCGCCACCGTGCATGTCCTCGTTCTCATCCCGGAATATGGGCAGGGTTTCCAGGCAGAAGCTCACAATCGAGATCAGGATCACCATGACAGATACGATAGCTATAATCCTGGCAGGCCCGGAGCTCTCTGGGTATTCAAAGAGAAGCCACACTTGCCTCTGAAATTCATTTTCGGGCAGAGGACGCTCTTCCTCCTTGATGTAGCCTTCATCTTCCCGAAACATCTCCATCGCTTCTTCTCCCAACTCGTAAAACCGAATTTCTTCGGAGAAAATGTCTAAGGGCACGTTCACAGGCCGTCTCAGCCTGCCCCCGGACTGGTAGTAGTACAAAATGGCATCAAAGCTGGGGCGGTTCCGATCGAAAAAGTACTCGTTTCGGAGGGGGTCAAAGTACCTCATCCGCTTCTTGGGGTCCCCTAAGAGGGTCTCCGGAAACTGGGCTAAGGTCTTGAGCTGGGTCTCAAAACGCAGCCCCGAGATGTTGATGACCACCCTCTCACAGCACTCGTGGTCTGCCTCGGGGTCGTAGGTATCCTGCGGGTGCCCGGGGAGGGCGGCAGCCTCATCCGCTGGCTCTCCAGTGGCCACTGTCATAATGGGGACTGAGAGAAGGATCTCACGCTACGCCTTCCAGCTGCCTGGTGGCAGGGAGCTCAGGGTGCTGCTTACGGCCCCAGGAAACACAGGAGCATTGGCCTGGGTTCCTGCAGGAGAGCCCTGATGGCTCTCTGAGGGCCAGAGAGATAGCCCGGCTTGGCTGAAAGACAGAGGCAGTTAAGGAGGTGAGACCACTCAGCATTGGCAGCCTGACCTGCCTTGCTGCTCCTTGACTCCTCTCTCTCAGCCAAGAGCTCGGAAACATGACCGCCATGGGCATCCCCATCACCACCACTGCCACCACCATCATCAAAAAGCAAAGCTTACGTTCACCTTGTAACGTGGCTGGGGATCAGAGGCAAGTGGGTGGTGGTCTCTCGAGAAAGCTCTGGATTGCCCTGCACTGGGGGAAGGTGGCGGGTACAGGGCCCCCCCTCTGCACTGCACAGGAGTGCAGGTGTCATAGAGCAGAGCCCCATACTAGAGGCTGAAAGGGAGCCCTCTCCCAGGCACTGAACTAATGTCTTGCAGATACCTGCACCCTGGGAGGAATTCACAGTGGTGGATCTTGGGCTTGGGTCTCCCTCACGGCCCCCTCTCCAGTGACTCTACACACGGCTGTTATTAAATAAGATTTACCTGGCAAGGCAGGAACCTGAAGCTCTCTTCCTCGAAGGGCTGATCAGATACCGTGGGAATCCTAGATACACAAATAGGCAGCCCGACTGCCCATCACGTCTTCTCACTTGAGCGAGAAATAATGGTGAGTCATTCTGGGCAGGAGGGCAGGCTCCAGGTCCTGGAGGTGAGCTCCAGAATTGGGCTGGCCTGGAGGGGCAGTGGAGCGCCTGGCCAGGGGCACAAGGGCCTCGAGGACTGCCACTCTTGGGTCTGGAGTAAGATGGAAGGAAGGAGGCAAGATGTGAAGCTCAGCAAAAGCTGGAGTCCTCCTGGCTGTCCTCAAGAGGTGTGACGTTGCCTGGAAAAAACAGCAGCAAGGTGGAACCAGGGCTTTCGGGCGGCCGGTGCCAAGATTTAGGAGGGCTCTGGCGGCTTCCCTTCCATGCCCACCTTCTGTGCTGGTGTGGTACCTGAGACCTGGTCCTCAGCCTCCCAGCCTCCTCCGGGCAGGCTTCCATTAGCTGGAAGCATTTTCTCCCAGGGAACAAGCCTTCAGGCTTGGCTGGGCCTGCCTCCTCGGGGGCCTCCCTGGGCCCAGCCCCATTGCCCTTGGTCCTCACCAGCCGTCAGGAGGGAATCTGGGCCAAGCCCTCCCGCCCCCAGGTCAGGCTGGGGCATCTCCTGAGCCCAGCGACCTCGGGCTCTAACCCCGAAGGGCCCCGGGGGAGGAAGAACGCCCCCCCCCCAACCCCCGATCCCCCGCCCGCCCGGGCCCCCGGTCCCGACGCACAGGCCATCCAAGCCCATCTAGGGAGGCTCCTCACACAGGAAGGTCGACTCCAGCGAGGCTGGCCGGCCTGGTCCCAGGACTTGCTGTCCCTAGGGGGTCGCCGGGCTCTAGGCTTCCCTCCGAGCAGGGTGGCATTTGATCTGGGGCCACCGATCCTGCCCCGGCACAGCCTCGCGTCCCCGCGGCAGGAGCGCAGAGCCGGGGCTCGGGGAGCTTGGCAGCCACGGCCAGGGGACCCGGGAGCCCGAGGAGCCCGAGGAGCCCGAGGAGCCCGAGGAGCCCGAGGAGCCCGGCAGCCGCGTCCGGTCTGGCCCCCTGCCGGCCGAGCGCGCCCCGGGGCGGGGAGGGTCCGGGCCGGTGCCCCGCGCCGCCCTCACAGCGAGGGGTGACCCTGGCCGCCAGCGTCCGCGTGGGGGGCGCTGCCCGACCTCCGCGTCGTCCCCCGCGGCGCGGCCAGGGAGCGGGACGGCCCTGCCCCGCCGTGAAGCCCCTGGATCCGCAGCCGCGGCCGGGAAGGCAGGCCGGCGCCCCCCGCGATTCGGGTCCCAGCTGCCGGCACCGCCGAGCACACCCGGCTCTGCCGTCACCCGCAGCTCCGCCCGCGCCGTGCGCAGCCCCGGGCCCGAGCCCGAGCCCAGCCGGCGCCCCCCCCCGCAGCCGGTGCCCCCCGGCTCCCCGCCCCCCCCGCCGGGGCCTCCCCCCCGCCGGCGCCCCCCCGCCCCCCGCCGGTGCCCCCCCAGCCGGTGCCCCCCCAGCCGGTGCCCCCCCCCGCCCCGACTCAGCCGAGCCCGCCGCGCTGCAGGCTGCGCCGCCCGGTCCCGCAGCCCCGCGCCCCGACTCGGCTTTACCCTTCCCGCCGGGCACCCGGGGCCTCCATGCTCCTGGGCGACGGCGAGCGCCGGCCGAGCGGCGGTGGCGGCGGGTGCGGGCGGCCAGCCGGAGCCGGCTCTGCAGTCCCGCGGGCGGCGCGTACCGAGCGCCCCGCCGCCGCCCGCAGCCGCACCGCCCCCCGCGCCCCGCAGCGCCGCACCTGGCCCGGCCGCGAACTCCAATTAAAGGGCCGGCGGGGCCCAGAGCCGAGCAGGTGGCCGCGGCCCGATCCCAGCTCCCCGCAGACGCCTGGGGCCGCCGCTGGGGGGGTTATTGGGGGGCGCCGGCTAGGGGGGAGCGGGGGGGGCGCCGGCTGGGGGGGCATGGGGGGCGCCGGCTGGGGGGAGAGAGGGCGCCGGCTGGGGGGGTTATGGGGGGCGCCGGCTGGGGGGGAGAGGGCACAGGCTGGGGGGGTTATGGGGGGCGCCGGCTGGGGGGGAGAGGGCACAGGCTGGGGGGGCCGAGGCCACGAGCTGAGGGCGGGCGCAGGGCGTTGGCGCGCAGGACGCAGTGGCTGGCAGCTCTCCCGCGCGAGACGGGGTGTGCGGACCCCCCAGGCTGACCCCTCTGCTCCGGGCTCTGCACGCCCCCTCCTCCCCCTGCCCCCCGCCCCCGGACCCAGCCCTGCCGTGGCTTGGAGTGGGGCGACGCAGCAGGTGTAGGGCCGCAGTGTGGCTGAAACCTGCTGCTGGGGGTCCTGCCAAGGAGCAGAGCTGCAGAGCCCGGGGAGGGGGGGGCGGGGGCTCGGCCTCCCTCCCTCCCTCCCCCAGGCTGCAGGGAAGGCTGTATGGCTGCCTTAGGGCAGGGCTGACTACCCGCCCCCCCCAAACGGTCTCTCCGCTGACTTTCACAGAGCCAGCTGGCCCACGGGCCTGACACTGGGGGCACAGCCCCTGGGACCGCGGTGGCCAGAGCAGGATGCCCTCTGCTTTTGGAAGAAACTGTATGGGAAGCCCAGCCTGTCCTCTGCTCAGTTGGTGGATCCCAGAGGGCCCAGGGTGCTCTTGGGAGCCACAGGACAGCTCATGGCCCTGGGAATTCTGGTCTCCGGATCTGTGTCAGAATCACAGTTCCAACCAGGGATTCCTTGAGCCTCCCGGCAGAGGGGCTCCAGCCCCAGGGAGGCTCCCGCTGGGTCCTCCTTGCTGAGACCTTCCTCCCCAGGCCTGCGGCTCATGATGGAAGTTCTGAGAGCCTGCGAGGTCCAGCTCTGTGGAATTGCTGCCTGCCACTAGGGTAGTCGGCTAGGTTTGGTGGAGAGCTGCAGGGGGTGGGCCCGGAGGGCAGGGGCCTTAGTGAGCCCTGGAGACGACTACTATAAAACAGGACTGGTTTGGTCTGGAAGTTAGACCCTCAGTGACCCGGCCTGAGCGTGGCCTGGGGTGTTTTGGAGTCAGCCAGGCTGGGACTTAAATCCCTGCCAGGTACTAGCTGAATTAATTCAAGTTTCTGGACGTGTGTCCTCATCTGCAAAATGGGGACACTTCACGGGCTGCTAGAAGGGTTAAGTGGCTTCTGGGAAGAGTGTAGGTGCCCCAGACACTCCGCAAATGATGAGTTCTCCACTCTGCTTCCCTGTGAAAGTCCCCGTGACTCCCAACCTGTAGCTTAGCTTGTGACTGCTGCTCTAAGAGCCCAGTCCCCGGGCTTGGCTGGCCTGTTCCCTCTGCTTCCCAGGGTACCGCACTCCTCACTTGCCCTGAGCTTTCAGGCATTCCTCCCACCTTCAGCAGACTGTCCTCCAGTCCATGCTCGACGACACCCCTTCTGCAAGCCTCACCTGCTCAGCACTGCAAGGCTCCGTGTCTCCTTCTGGCCACTCGGGTGCTTGTGGCGATTGAAGTACGATGGACATCCATTTGATCACACCTCTACACTTTCCCGGCCCTCCTCCTTTGTCAAAATGCAAGCCATGGACAGAGAAAAGCACTCGAGGGAGCATGAATAATGGTGCTAATTGGTAACGTGTGCCTACCACACGGCAGACACTGGGCCCAGCACCTCCAGCGCAGCGGAGCCTTGATCCAGCCCCCTGAGCTCGTTTCTACATCAGTACCGTTTCAGGGGAGAGGAGACTGAGGCAGAGACAGGTGAAGCAACCTGCCCAAGGTCACTAAGTGGTGGCTCAGAGACGTGAATCAGGGGTCTGTGACTCCAGGGCAGACACCCTCAGCCCCCACACCACCCTGCTCGGGTATAGCGAGCAGCCTCCGACCCCCCCCACCTCTGTCCTGTCTGATTGGCCTCAGGGGGTATGTCCTCCTACCTCCCCCCTTTCAGCCTGCCATAAGTGTGAACAACAGAAGAGAAATTAAGGAAAGAAGGAGAGAAAGAAAAAAAACCCTGACATCAGTTGTACAAGGGCACAGGGCGTGCCTCTTCCCCGAGTGGTCGGTCTTGGTTGGGCTGTGCTGTCTGAGAACAAGAACACGGGCCCAATTCCCACCTCTGACACTTCCTAGCTGTGTAAACTTGAACAAATTGTCTAAACTCTCTGAGCCTCCGTTTCTCATTTGTTGCGTAGGATGGTGGAACTACTCACAGGGTGGTCTGGTTTAAGCGAGTTACGATGGACAGCTGGCCTCACCTCGCTGTTTAATCACTGTTAGCTCTCTCCAGCCCGAAAGAGGTCACCATTTCCTACTTCCGGCCACTGAAGAACAGTTGGAGTGCCCCCTTGATCCCTCCCTGGGGTCGATCAAACCCAGGAGGACCACTCCTTTATCCTTCAGTTGGCTTTCCTGCTTGGGGGCCATGCCTTGCCTTCGGTAGAGTGACCCGCCAGGGACCTGAAGTTGTGGGTTCCTGTACTCTGTGACTACGGTCACTGAAAGGAAGAGTTTATGACAGGGCACATCCGTGCCTCACCCCCGCCCTCACCGCGGCAACACCCCCCTCCCGAGGCTCTGAGGCTCTGCAGCTACAGGAGGGAGGTTCTCTTAGTACTTCCCACCGCAATTTATGTGCGCTGAAGACTACATGAGCTCCCTTCTCAGGTGTCACTCCCAGAGGAGAGGCTCTCCCCCCTTGCAGGACTGTCACCTCTGCTGATGCTTGGTCGCCCGCCCACCGTGGTGGCGCAGCCCCCTCTAACACACAGGCAGCAGGTCAGGAAAGCATGGAATGTGGGCCCAAGCACCCGGCTGACAGCTGTCCATAGGTCATTTGACTGCACCCTTTGGCACCGCCTAGAGGGAGAGATGCCATGATCTCTGTTTTACAGATGAAGATCCTCAGAGAGGACAAGCTGCTTCCAGGGTAATTTAGCTGGTAAGTGGTGAGGCCATGATAGAACTCAATAGGTCTGACTCCACAAATCACTGTTCCATTCGGCTGCCCACTTCGACCGGTAGCCGAGTGCCAGCCCTCTGGGCTTGCTTTTTGGTCTTGGGAGCATGGATTCAGTCCAGCAGAGCTTCCAGACCGCTAGGGCCTATCCTCACATGCTGTGGAGGTTGCCCAACCTCATAGGAGGTCTGTTTTAGAAGCTGGATGTTGGAGTCAAGGCAGTGGCCCAAGAGATCTCCACCCTATGGCCTTGCCTGGTGCAGCTCTACTCATGCTTATCCCTCACTCTGGAGCTTTAGTCTTAGCATGCAGAGCTGTGTGACCCAAAGTCACTTCCTTGTCCTTTCTGTGCCTCGGTCTACTTGTAAGATAGGAAGGATAGCATTTGTCCCTGGCTCCCCTTGCTTCGTAGGGTTTAAAGAGAGAGTGGAAGGAAGGAGGGGAGGCATGAAGACGGAGGCTAACCTTCAGTGTTAGTGGGTATCAAGGTCTCATCTGTTAGCTTCAAAGAAGAGAATTTATGTGAGTGCACTTGGAAAAGCAGGAAGCCTGGTCAATGTGGAAGCGTACACTGGGCTTGTGAGCGCTGTTGCTGTTGTCATGATTGTGCCCTGCCAGTGTGCACCATGTGTGAGGTCTGAGGACTTGCCCTGGAAGTGGAATGAGCCACCTACTTACCTGAGGGCTGCCTCCCGCAGGAAACCTTCTGAGATTAACCCCGGCTGCCTGCAAGGTCTCCTCTGTGGAGGTCTGGGCCTCAGCTCCTGTACCGCAAATCTTGGCCTTTACAAACACAAGAGGATATTAAGGAGTGGTAGAAGGGGTAGACCTTCCCTCTGCTTTTGGAACCACTGTCCTGGGTCAGGCACTATGCTGGTGGCCTCACCTTCTCGCCCCGGCTGTTAACACCCAGAGGCAGAAGAGCACAATGCTTAAAGTACAACCTCTGGT